AGCTTATCATCAGCTAATACGTATGTGTGATTATCTTATTTCTCACTTGTAATTGTCTCTCCTTTACTGAAGTCTACTGACAGATACAATGTTGTTGTTGCTGCTGCTGTTTTTAATTGTGGTAAAATACACAGAACGTGAATTTTGTCATCTTAGCTATTTTTAAGTAGACAGTTTAGTAGTGTTGAATATGTTCACATTGTTGGGCAGCCAATCCCCAGAACTCTTTTCCTCTTGCAGTTCTGAAACCCTGCACCAATTAAAAAACAAGTCCCTGCTATTACTCTCCTCAAGTCCTTGGCAACCACATTCTACTTTCTATCTCTATGAGTTTGACCGCTCAAGGTACCTCAAATAAATGCCATTATCCAATATTTACTTTTTGGTGACTGGCTTATTTCTCTTAGCATAGTTTCAGTAAGATTCATCACTGTGGCAGTATGTGTCAGAATTTCCTCCTTTTAAGGCTGAATAATGTTCCATTGTATGTGTATACCACATTTTGTTTATCCAGTCACCTGTTGATTGACACCTTGGCTGCCTTCATCTTTTGGCTCTTGTAAATAATGCTGCTATGAACATGGGTGTACAAATATCTTTTGAATGAGTGTGTGTGTGCACGTGTGTTCAGTTGCTAAGTCGTGTCCGACTCTTTGAGACCCCATGGACTTAGCCCACCAGGCTCCTCTGTCCACAGGATTTTCCAGGCAAGAGTACTGAAGTGGATTGGCATTTCCTCCTCTAAGGGATCTTCCTGACCCAGAGACTGAACCCATGTCTCATGTGTTTCCTGCATTCCAGGGGGATTGTTTATCCTCTCAGCCATTGGGGTGCCCTATCTTTTGAGTACCTGCTTTGAATTCTCTTGTATATATACTTACCCAGAGGTGGAATTGCTGAAATCATATGGTAATTCTATTTTGAATTTTTTAATGAGCTATTATATTGTTTTCCACAATGACTGCACTTTACCTTCCTGCCAGCAGTTCACAAGAATTCCAATTTATCCATATCCTTGCCAGCATTCCTTATTTTCTGCTTCTTAAATAGTAGCCATTCTAATGGGTGTGAAAAGCTATCTCAGTATAGTTTCGATTTACAGTTTTGTAACAATTAGTAATATTGAGTGTTTTCTCACCTACTTATTGGGTTTTTCTAGGCCTTCTTAGAAATATCTAGTCAAGTTCTTTAAGTGAAAGTGAAAATTGCTCAGTCATGTTCGACTTTTTGTGACCCCATGGACTATACAGTCCATGGAATTCTCTAGGCTAGGATACTGGAGTGGGTAGCCTTTCCCTTCTCCAGGGTATCGTCCCAACCCAGGTCTGCATTGCAGGCGGATTCTTTACCAGCTGAGTCACAAGGGAAGCCCAAGTTCTTTAGCCATTTTTTAACTGGATTATTTGTGTTTTTAAATTACCGTTGAGTTACACGTTTTTTGTTTGTTTGTTTGACCATGACTCATGGCTTATGGGATCTTAGTTTCCCAGCCAGGGATTGAAACTGGACCCTCAGCAGTGAGGCCACAGAGTCTTTTTTTTTTTCCTCCCACATTATCTATATGGTGAAATTTTAACTTTTGAACACAAAATGCTATTTTAAGAAAAAAAGTTTCTCTTTACTTGTTTTAATATGGCTTCCAGAAGTTTTGAATACACATGTGGCTTTTGTTAGATGTATACTGGATAGCACTGCTCTTACTAATTCTGCCCAATTCCAGAATACACTTGGTGATAGGTTTACAGTACTGGTTTTTTTTTAAAAAGAATGATATTTTATAAGCACATACTGCTGGCGTGTCCCTGATATGCCATCCAAATTACTTTGAGTCTTAGTGAGCTGTAGGGCTCTAATTATCTGCTTCCTTATGAGTACTTACATAGTCAACTATAACTGTTATCATATTTTTAGGGCATGAAATGTGTATTCTATCAAGCTAAAAATAGGAAAGGCACCACTGATTCAAGGGTTAATTTAAGACTCCAGAAGAGGCAGCTTCACCATCTGAACCCCAAACCAGAGTCAAACATCCAGGATCAGACACACCTTCCTCTGGTGAACCACAAGGGTGATGGTGAAAGTTATGCCAAGTCAAAACTTTCTTGTACTTCAAGGAAACAGCATTCACTAATTAACACAAAGACTGTATACTCCTGAAGACTCTCTTGCTACTCTGCTGTACAAAGTTCAAATGACTTAAGGAAACACCAGAGTCTTCTGAGGCATTTTATTTGTACTCATTACATCCCTAGAAAAAGAACCCAAGGATTTCCCCTCCTGTATGTTTTCGTCTTGCTTCTTCATGGTCTGTGATGCCAGCTGAGGTAGTCAGTACAATGAAATCAAACTGACGGGATGGGAGCAGGTTATTCTGCCATTTTACTAGATCTCTGAGGTGCACATCAAATCTGGGGCTGATCACTCCACACTTATTTAGCCTGCCTGTGAGGTACACAACAATCTTCCCAGCCCTGTGATCATCAATGATTTCAAATTCGCCAATGTAACCATGCTTCATCATCACTGTTAGAAACCTGATGATGACTTTGGAGCACAGCCTAATAAGGACCTGGCATTTGCCTCTCTTTCTGGCATTGTTGATACTCTTGAGAGCATCAGCCAGGACATTCATGCATGCCATTCTGGCGGCACAGAAAGATAGCAAAAAGAGGCGGGCCACAGAGTCTTGACCACTGGTCTGTCAGGGAATTCTCAGGAGATTTTTTTTTAATATATTCTAGATATTAGCCTCTTATAGAATCTATGATTTGCAAATATCTCAATCTGTAGGTTGCTATTCTTTAATGGCTTTTAAGAATATGAGGCACTTCGTTGCAGCATGTGGAATCTTTAGCTGAGGCATGCAAGCTCTTAGCTGCCGTGTGTGGGATCTAGTTTCCTGACAAGGGATGAAATCTGGACTCCCTGTATTGGGAGCAAGAAGTCTTAGCCACTGGACCACCAAGGAAGTCCCCAATAGGTTGCTAACTTTTTTATTTCATCTTGATTTATATTTATATTAACTGCCTGAGTCCTTATATTCTCTTTGGGTCTTTGAATTTTTGACCCCTAGCTGATATTTTCTGGGTCACAACATTTAACATGTCTTCCTGAAACACAAGACTCTTTGATTGGATTTGGATATTTTCTAAATTCTTCAGTTAATATTAAAGACAATTTCTTTGTTCTATCCTTTGTACAAGTGGTTGAACTCATCCATTACATTCTTGAATCTACCTAATTTCATTTCTCATTAACTTTAATTTGGAAAGTAGCTTGCTATAATCCCCAGGCATATGATATTTTAGCTTCATTGATCTTACTCTACCAGTTTTTTAAAATTTTGTTTTAGTTTTTAACCACAGTACTTTCATTTTAATTTTTCTCCCCAAAGGAGAGAGAGAGATAATTTTCATACTGCAATTTCAATGATACCTGATACCTGCTAAGTTAAATTTATTTTTATATATTCTTAAATTATTGGAGAAGGAAATGGCAACCCACTCCAGTATTCTTGCCTGGGGAATCCTGTGGACGGAGGAGCCTGGTGGGCTGCCATTTATGGGGTCGCACAGAGTCGGACACGACTGAAGGGACTTAGCAGCAGCAGCAGCATTCTTAAATTATAAGCCACTGATTCTTCTGGAAGCAAAGGTACACGCACAATGGGAAGCTGAGGCCATGAGCTAACAGGACTCTGATGTGCTTTCATGCTGTCATTTCTTCTTTGAAAAAATGATCTGTGGTGTCTGTCCTATAGAAAGAACAGACAAATGCAACTCACATAGCTCCTGGCCCAAAAGATACAGATTTAAAGCACGATTTGAGGGGGACAAAAACAATTTAGTAGAATAATCAAGCAAAGTAACAAAATTTAAAGAACATTGATCTTGGATCTCATGAGAGATGATAGCATTGGTTCTTTTATTTATTTATTTTTCCATTTATTTTTATTAGTTGGAGGCTAATTACTTTACAATATTGTAGTGGTTTTTGTCGTACAATTGACATGAATCAACCATGGATTTACATGTATTCCCCATCCGATCATCATAACAAAGGCATACAAACTTCTTCAGTTGCCAAAATCAGTCTTCAGAACAAAATTCCATTATTAGGACCTTCAGTAGACCTATTTTTTTTCCTTTGGAAACAGCCCTAAGAAACACTCTGGATACCATTACAATACTTGTATTCAAGACTGGATTTAAATGAAAGTCTTGGAGTTTCCAAAGATCTTACTTAGATCTCCAGTAAAGTTTCCCTCAAGGTACAGCCAATTTATATTGTCATTATTAGTGCCTGGACTGACAGCAGAAATTGATTTCTTTACAGGTTGGGCACAGAAGGAAGAAAACCTCTGGGAAAGAATGACTTTCATTCCAACCAACAAAGGAATAAAGACACTTTGGGGACATTTGTGTTAGGCTGACTAATGATAGTTGCAGATAGCAAACCAAAAATACAGTCAAAAAATGTTTTTAAATTTTCTTTGCCTCAGTTTTTCATCTATAAAATTATTATAATAATTACGCCTATTTACAGAGTTATTGGGGGTTCCCTCATAGCTTAGTTGGTAAAGAATCTGCCTGCAATGCAGGAGACCAGAGTTCAATTCCTGGGCTGGGAAGATCCTCTGGAGAAGGAAATGGCAACCCACTCTAGTATCCTCGCCTGGAGAATCCCACAGACAGAGGACCCTGGCAGGCTACAGTCCATGGGATCGCAAGAGTCGGACACAGCTTAGTGACTAAATCACCATCACCAGAGTTATTGTTAAGAGAGAATGGGCTGGCTGGCCAGATTCTGGGTTCCTGCCGAGGCCCCGTGAGAAGCCGGAACAGTTGGGGTCCAGCCGGGATTGCCAAAGTGGACACTGAGTGACTGTGTGCTCCCGGGTCATCGCCAACGTACCTTCCCCGCAGGAGATAAGCTGAGGCTGCAAGATTGAGAGGAGTTGGGGGTGGTTAGAAATTGTTAAGAGGTTTATTGAAGTCAAAATGTCTCAAAAAATCCAAGGCGGGTCTGTGGTAGAGATGCAAGGAGATGAAATGACACGAATCATTTGGGAGTTGATTAAAGAGAAACTCATTTTTCCCTACGTGGAACTGGACCTGCACAGCTACGATTTAGGCATAGAGAATCGCGATGCCACCAATGACCAGGTCATCAAGGACGCTGCAGAAGCTATAAAGAAGTACAACGTTGGTGTCAAATGTGCCACCATCACCCCCGATGAGAAGAGAGTGGAGGAGTTCAAGTTGAAACAAATGTGGAAATCTCCAAATGGCACCATCCGAAATATCCTGGGTGGCACTGTCTTCAGGGAAGCTATCATCTGCAAAAATATACCCCGGCTTGTGAGCGGATGGGTAAAACCCATCATCATAGGTCGTCATGCTTATGGGGGTCAATATAGAGCAACCGATTTTGTTGTGCCGGGGCCCGGAAAAGTAGAGATATCCTACACACCAAGTGATGGATCCCCCAAAACGGTATACCTAGTACATAACTTCACAGAGAGTGGTGGTGTTGCCATGGGGATGTACAATCAAGATAAGTCAATCGAAGATTTTGCACACAGTTCTTTCCAGATGGCTTTGTCTAAGAATTGGCCTTTGTATCTGAGCACCAAAAACACTATTCTGAAGAAGTACGATGGACGTTTTAAAGACATCTTTCAGGAGATATATGACAAGCAGTACAAATCTCAGTTTGAAGCTCAGAATATCTGGTATGAGCACAGGCTCATTGATGACATGGTGGCCCAAGCTATGAAATCGGAAGGCGGCTTCATTTGGGCCTGTAAGAACTATGATGGGGACGTGCAGTCGGACTCCATGGCCCAAGGTTACGGCTCTCTCGGCATGATGACCAGTGTGCTGGTTTGTCCAGATGGCAAGACAGTAGAAGCAGAGGCTGCCCACGGCACCGTAACCTGTCACTACCGAATGTACCAGAAAGGACAGGAGACATCCACCAATCCCATTGCTTCCATTTTTGCCTGGACCAGAGGCTTAACCCACAGAGCTAAGCTTGATAACAATAAAGAGCTTGGCTTTTTTGCAAAGGCTTTGGAAGAAGTCTGTATTGAGACCATTGAGGCGGGCTTCATGACCAAGGACTTAGCTGCATGTATTAAAGGTTTACCCAACGTGCAACGTTCTGACTACTTGAATACATTTGAGTTCATGGATAAACTTGAAGAGAACCTACAGTTAAAACTAGCCCAGGCCAAACTTTAAGGTCATTTCTTGTCTTTGGAGGATTTTTTTTTCTGGTAACTAGGGTCTACTGGTTTACATTTTTCTCTATAACACTCAAAGGTAAAGGCAAAATCAATTTTGTAATTTGTTTAGAAGCCAGAGTTTATCTTTTCTATAAGTTTACAGCCTTTTTCTTATCCATACAGTTATGCCACCTTTGTGAACGTGGCCGGGGACTTTTTTTTAAATTTTATTTTCTACTAATAGCCTAGGAATTATTTTTAATGTCCACTTGAACTCACTGTCAATTTTTCTCATGTGCTGAGATCAATGACCAAAATGAACAGTGCTCAAAAGGATAAACCATAGCCATGGTATTATGCCCTGAAATTGTATAAAGTAGAGATTCATTCCCTTTCTCACTTTCCATGGCCTGGGGCCCTGGGTCATTCTAATGTAACAGATATCTCATGATTTGCAGTAGAAGTTATATGTTAGACTTGCACATGATTTGGAATGAAGAGCATGGCCGTAACTAAAACATGTTGAAGACTCATCTTTGTAAAGAGCTCTAGTTGAATCTTTTAAAAATACTAAATGTTTTTGAGCTCCCTGGAGAATCCAGAAGAAATACTACCTGGGGGGGTTTGTCCTCGGTGTTTGTCTCCTCCTCCTGGCCTTGTGTGGCCTAAGTATTATGTGACCTTTAACAGCATGTTTCATCCAAGTGCAATAATACAAGCTGCGCCTTTTTTGGGGGGACCTCTGCTGACCTCTTTTATTTCCTCTATGTAAATGTGATTTTTCAGAAGTTGATTGTAAACACTATTCTAGTCCTGTTCTTTATCTAAACTATCGATTTTAATTAAAATTCAGTGTTAATGAAAAAAAAGAGAGAGAGAGAATGGAACACTACATGTAAATTACTTACAAGAGTTGATTTTAAAAAGAAAATATTCTTCAAATTTATTTTGGTACTTATATAAAGTATGGCTCTCACTTAATTTTATCTAGATTATAATCTAGTTGTCTTATGAAATCTTTCTTTCCTTTGCCTTTATTTTGCAGTATATTTTTAATTCTATGTTTAATTATGGTATGTAATAATGTTCTATTTCTGAAATTTCTATTCACTTACGTGGATCTGTTTTGTGCCATTATATAAATTTTTGTTGTATCATACTATCATTTGCCATCTTGAAAACTACTGTCTTCTCTTTGCTCTTCTTTTTGAAGCTATTTTTTGAGACCTTAACCTATTTAGTATACTTTAGTGAACTTTCCATCAGCTTTATCTTCTTCTAAGAAAAATCCTATTGGTGTTTTGATTGGAATGATGTTAAGCTATAAATTTACTTAGAAAGAATAACATATTTATGGTATTTGTTTGCTTTCTTTTTCCCCCCTTCCAAAATCCTTTGGTGCATATCATCTTTAAATATCCAGTAATGCAGTTTTTCCTAAATATATCTTTACCATGTTTGTTGTAATTATCTATCACTTTTACTATAGTATTTTCAAGGTGGTAATTGCTCAGTAAGCATATGTTTTCATCATTTATCTTCTACTTTCATGTTAGACCTCAGTTATATAAAATTTAATCATACCTCTCAATTCGTTGCTTAATATCAAGATCATTTATGTAATGCTTATTACTGGTCTATCTTAGTTTCTTTAACCTCAATCCAAATCCCATGTTCCTCTCCTCACTCTAATGTGTCTAATACAGATTATAAAATATGCATATGCTCTTGTGAAATACATAAACTTTTTTTTCCTCAGCATTAATTTTCTATGATGTACCCATATTGCTGTATATATCTTGCTTCTACCTGCATAGCATTTCACATTCACTACATTTTATGTACCCATCCCCTAGCATACTTCTACCATAAACACTGCAACAAATGTCTCTGTATAACTCTCCTTCAGATCTATGTAAGAATTTCTTTGGTATGTATATTCCCTGAGATAAGTGAGTCTGAGGCATGCACTGACATTTTTACTGAATTCCGCCAGAATGCCTTCCAGAGTATCTGTACCAATTTACATTACTTCTCCGGATCCTTGCCAAACTGATAACATCCTTTCCAATTTTTGCCAATTTGATGGGTATAAAATGGTGTATCATTTTTGCTTCAATTTTGATATATCAGCTTACTAGTGATGTTGAGGATCTTTTTATTATTTGTTAGCCCTTTGGGCTTCCTCTGCTTCAAATTGCCTATTCATATCTTTTATCTATTTTTATATTCAGTTTCCAATTTCATTCCTGATGATTTACAGAAACTTTTTGTATATTCTAGCTTTTCTTTTTTGGCTGCACTGCACAGCATGTGAAATCGTAGTTCCCAACCAGGGATTGAACCCATGCCCCTTGCATTAGAAGCATAGAGTCTTAACCATTGGACCACTGGGGAAATCCCTCTAGTTTTTTGTTTTTAATTGAAATATTTATGTTAGTTTTAGGTGTATGGCAAAGTGATTCAGTTGTATATGAATGTATGTGTGTATATATATATATATATATATACATGCATATATACTTTTAGGACGGCTTCCCAGGTGGTGCTAGTGGTAAAGAATCTGCCTGCCGGTGCAGGAGACATGAGACGTGGGTTTAATCCCCGGATCAGGAAGATCCCCTGGAGGAGGAAATGGCAACCCACTCTAGCATTCTTGCCTAGAGAGTCCCACGGACAGAGGAGCCTGGTGGGCTGCAGTCCATGGGGGTTGCAAAGAGTCGACAGGACTGAAGTGATTTAAAACACACACACACACACACACACACACACACACACACATACTTTTACAGATTCTTTTCCCTTATAGGTTATTACAAAATATTGAGTATAGTTCACTGTGTATACAGTAGGTCCTTGTTGTATATTTTAGTTTTAATGTGCTGTAGAGTTTAGTCATTGCTGGTATCTCCTCTTAGTCATTTGTCTAAGTTTATACTTCATTGAACAGAAATCTTCAAACTTTATGCAGTGATAATAATTGTTTCTTTATCTCATGTTTATATTTTGGGGTCTTGCTTAAAAAGGTTTCCCCCTGGTTCGTAAAGACAGTCCTTTCATATTCTATTACTTTAATAGGTTGTAAAATCCATTTTGAATCCCTATATAGTAATAGCATATAGTAAATATGTATAAATATAGTAAATATAGCAATAGTAAATAGCATATAGTAAAAATGCAGGATCAAGCTCAGTTTTCCTTTGTACAGTGATCCAGTTTTCTCATACTACCTAAGAAGCAATCTATCTATCCATTCCAGATTGTTCTGTGGTGCTCCTTTATCAAATATCAAGTTCATATTTTTAAGCTCTCCACTGTGTTCCTCTGCTTTGCTGTCTTCCTACACGAACACTATACTATCGTTACCACAGATTTTCAGTGAAGTCATACTACCATTACATTTTCTTTACCCTTGTTGTATTGGAAACACTTTATCTTATGGGGAAGGGAATTGCAGAGTGATTAGTGTGACTTCTTTAAGAGTAATAGATAGCAATAAGTTTTGTATTTAATGACACTTGTTTTCTCACAAAATGGAAAAAATATTGATTACATCATGAGTGTCAGAGAGTCTTCAAATCCATATCAAGCAGCTAGGTTGTTTATTTACATCCTTTTCCCATGGATTTTTCAAGTTTGGGGTTTCTTCCACACCCTTTCTTCTGGCCCCACAACACAGGTACCAGGAATATGGATGAGCTTTATCAGGTCCCCAGTACAGTCAGCCCTCTGTATCTGTGGATACTGAGGCCAATTGCACTACACCATTTTATATAAGGGACTTGAGCACCACCAAGTTTTAATACCACAGGGGCTCCTGGAACCAATACCCCATGGCTATCAAGCGAAGACTATAATTGCATGGAATTGGTTGATTATCTTACCTATAAGCCTCATTTTGGGGGGTCTTGTCCCTACTCTTCCTTTGATCGGCTTTGGATAAAAGTCTTAGTATGTGTTAGCAGTAGTGAAGTTTCTCAGCCGTGTCCGACTCTTTGCGACTCCACGGACTGTAGCCTACCAGGCTTCTCCATCCATGGGATTTTCCAGGCAAGAGTACTGGAGTGGGTTGCCATTTCCTTCTCCAGGGGATCTTCCCAACCGAGGGATGGAACCCAGGTCTCCCGCATTACAGGCGGACGCTTTACCGTCTGAGCCCCCAGGGAAGCCCTTAGCATGTGTTATTCCCCACAAACTGAATTCCTCTGAGTTTGGGGCTTCCAGACTGAAACTGCCGTGTTACTGCAGATACCCTTGTCCAAATGTTAATCTCTGCTACGATGCTCCACTTCTCTCCCAGTGTGTCTTCTTCCCTGTTGCTTCCTACTAAATCTTTCTCACTCTACTTGCCTGGAGCAAAGAAGCAGCAGAAAATGAAATTTACAACCACGATGTAAGAAGGAGAATGTTGTTGTTGTTGTTCAGTTGCTAAGTCATGTCCGACTCTTTTGCGACCCCATGGACTGCAGCCTGCCAGGCTCCTCTGTCCATGGGATTTTCCAGGCAAGAGTACTGGAGTGGGACACCATGTCCTTCTCCAGGGGGTCTTCGCAACCCAGGGATCGAACCCACATCTCCGGCATTGGCAGTTGGATTCTGAGACACTGGGGAAGCCCAAGGAGGAGAATGGAGCGTGGTAAACAAGAACCTTTTCGCTCGTTGAATATTTCTGTAGGTTTGGATATGCAAAAGTGGGTCCGGACCTTAGCTTGGAAGTAGACACCAGCCAGAACTGTGTGCTCTGCATAAAGAATAAAGAATTTGCATTGGAGGCTGCAATCCAGGAAGGAGAGGATGCTGAGGAGATAGCACCTGGGAGAAAGGAAGAGACAAGCTTGCTAGTGTGTTGCTGAGCCCCTATATGGATGAAAAGACAATAGGACAATTCCTGGGGAAAGAACTCTTAAGAAGAATCAGTTTTCAAGTGGTAGGAGTTCATTTTAAAATAAATTTTATTTTATATTGGAATAAGGGCTTCCCTTATAGCTCAGTCGGTAAAGAATCTGCCTGTAGGGC